GGAGGATGGAGGATGGAGGATGGAGGATGGAGGATGGAGGATGGAGAATGGAGGGATGGAGGGATAAGTGAATGGGTAGGTGGGTGGGTGGGTGGATACAAGGAAGGGATGATGGATGGATGGATGGATAGGAGGAAGAAAAAATAAATGGATGAATAGAGGGATGAATGGAAGGACAGAGAGATGGATGAATGGACAGACTGCATGGGAAGATTGTTAAATAAATTAGAGATGGATAGGTGAAATGCACAGAGGGATGAACAGAAGGAGAGGCAGATGGATGATTAACAAACTGAATTGAGTGTTTTTATAGTGAGAGAATTTATCAAAACACCAACCAATCAGATAATTGATTAATTTAAGAGCTCACTTGCTGAAGTTGTTTGCAGTTTTTCTTTTCATTTCTCAGATCTTCTCTCAAGCTTTCCATGTTCTTTTCCTTTTCTTCAATGACACTTTTAGAAATCTTGAAAACAAAAGATATTACATGTGAACTGGATGCAATGCTAGTGACTCAGTAACATCTGCTGAAGCATAAGTTCGCAAACTGCACTGCTCTCAGTAGAAAGCATATAACTAGGAAACTCATTTGATGCTGTGGCAACATTAAACTCTGGGTGGCAAAGAGGGGTATGCATTACACTTTACTACATTTTGAAACTACATTTTGAAACGAAATCGCCTATTGCTGGTTTTCAATATTATTCCCAAGGGAGTGAAATAACATAAGACATGACGGCCACGGATTTATTGATGTTTTTCTTTTATCAAATTCAACCATAAAGAAGGTGATGGTGGCTATGAGGTCATGTGCAAACAAAGAATTACAGAGAAATTTTTGACCTGATGCACATATTTTTGCAATATGCAATGATGCATCACAGAGCTCATTTGGGAATATAATCCAGAATCTGCCTTATACAGGGCTATATGGTGAAGACAGATAGGGTCTACGGTTGTAAGTCCTTGTCCGAGAAGACTTGAAGGTCTAACCATTTGCAGATATAATTACAAACTAAAGGTAGCACCTTCTCCTCAGTTATTTTAAGACCCTGAGCCGAGGCTTGAACCACGACCTACTGCACAACAGACCAACGGTCATACCAACTGAGCTAACCAGGTGGCGGTTTGTGTAATAAGAAGTTAATAAAACTAGTTATGATTGTAGCTTACCTGCAAGGTTTCTTTCATTTCTCTCACTTCTAGTTCTAGTATCTGGTTCTTTTTGCCTCTTTCTCTGCCTTTAGCTCTAAATGGTATAAAGCAATATCATTATCTGATATTAAAATATTACTAATACTTATTTAATTAACTTGGAATAACAAAACATTTACAACAGTTTTCATTATTCTGCGAACTCGGTAGTTGCAAGCTGCATGCTGAAGTTTCGTTTTTCTCCGCCGTCATTCAAAAATAATCAGTCTGTACCTTTTATTTTCTTGACTGGCGGAAGTAAAAAAACAATTTTACGATAAGCCGTTGAAATGTCTGAGTTCACAGAATTACATCGAAAACCACAGTAAGGTGGACTCAAACAGATGGAAATCCTATGAGCGATTAATTATTCAGTTATATTTCAGAAGACTGAAGTTTATAATTATAAGCAAACTTAATTAGTCAGCAACTGATTGCCCTTGGCCACTCTGACACTCACTGTGCTAATTGCAGTTCGTGGACTTGATCACCTAATTCTTTTCGGACATCCTCAATCTCTTCTTTATATATTCTGTTAGCCTCTTTTGATTTTGTGATCTGTTCTTTTAACTCTTCTCTTGCAGCTTGGTTTTCTTCTTTATTTTCCTCTGCCCTTTTCAGCTCCACTTTTAGCTGCTCTACTTCTGGCTTTAAATCTTGGATCTCAGAGGATTCTGTGAACAAGAAATGCATTTTCAAAAAAAAAAGATTGTCCTATGCTATCATGTTAAACTTACTACAATTTTATTGACTACTTAACGTAACATCATCGAGATATAAAGTATGTGAAGTAATCTTAATCAGCATTAGGAGGGGGACGTTGGGGTTTGTAGTGTTGCAGTGTTGGCCTTCTTTTCGTGCAGTATTTTCTTGGTAATTGAAAATCACATGCCGAATCGCAGTGTTGCTGTGATCTCAAACCTTGTGATGTACGGTGTTTGTGTTATTTAACTTACGGTGTCCAATGAAACAATCTGATTGATTGAGGGGTTGGGGTTTTGAATGTCAAAACATTTGGCCCTTTTGATTAAAATCTGTGCTGTCACTGGCAATCAATTTTGTGCTGTGATGCGATGAATTCAGAATCTTGTTTTTCAGTGGTAAGGTGTTTGACACCCCCAATGTCCCCCTCCATCTGTAATTGTTTCAAAGAATATAATACTGCCTTAATCAATTTAACTATACTCTTACGTTGCTTTATTAACTCATTTGCCTCATCYAGCTCAGTCTTGTACTGCTGTAATGCCAACTCCCTTATGCTATACTGTAGCCCAAACAAAAAAAGGTCAAAATTAGCATTTGTAATGTCAAATGAAATAATATTCCATCTCCTTTATGTGGGTGTAATATTGTTCATTTCAGGGTTTCTACTTCATGTAGAGGACACTGTTGAGGTAATAATTCAATAGTCACAACAAAAGACTCCTAGTTATGAACAAAGCTAACAAAGAATACAATAGATTTCTATTGAATATCAGAATAACATACACTGTGTCCTCTTTTGTATCCTCTACACAAAGATATATATGTATACCCCATTTCAGACTGTGTCATTGTCTTGAGAATAAAATGCATAATGTGTCTTATCATATGACCCGTATCTGCCCGGGCGCGCACTCTTAAAAAAACCTTCGGGAAAATGGCGTGAGCAGGGCCATAYGGCTTTGAGCTAGCAGGGGCGTACAAATTCGTACGGCCCTGCTCGAAACCTGCAACCGTATTGACATAATTTGCAACTTTTAAAATATCTTATTTCTTTAGGGTCATATGATAAAATGCTTATTGACTGAGTTAGGTTGGGGGTACGGGAAAATATTTAGCTCTCRGTAATTGTACGGCATCACCTCAAGCCAAATAATTATTTTCCCATACTGCCCTCCAACTCAGTCAATAAGTACATATTATCCATATTTCATGTATCTTCTCGTGCGCAACTAATAATAAGTTAGAAATACTAATCAGGACTGACAGGTGACAGATAAAATTAAATGGAAAAACATTTTGCTCAAGGCTAAGAGGTGTATATGGAGGTCAATGACCACAGACTCCTGGCAAGAATATATTATTCATGAACTTCTTTCTTGCAATCATCCTGAATAGTCCTCTCCACAGTTCCCTGCACCATCTTGCAAGGTAGCCAGGCCTTTACATCAAATCCAGATGAACAGTGAGCTTGCAAACTAATTGGTGGGGTCACCAATATACACCTCTTATCCTTGAGCAAAATGTATGTGAACAATTGTCCAAGGTGTAAAAAAAAAGGTCTCTATCATTGCAAGCTCACTGTTCATCTCGCTTCAATGCAATTTAGGCACGGCTACCTTTCAAGGTGTCATAGGGAACTGTAAAAGGGACTATTGATGGCATTATAGATATAGCCCTATAGCAGCAGCTTAGACAAAATGTTTGCTGCACCATACTTTAACTCACCACTTTGTCCACTGCCTCAAGAGCTTTAACAGCCTCATCATAATCATGCTTCAATTTCTGCTTCTCATCATTAACTTGAATTACTTTCTGCTCCAACTCTTTTACTCTTTCTTGGACTCTTCTTAATGTTTCATGAGATTGTTTCCTGTCCATCTGTTCTGCTGCTCTGGATGCACTCTCTGATCTAGGAGTTGAATTTGGACTACCTTCTTTCTCTGATGCTCTTCTTCTCTCCAGCCATTTAATCTTATCTCTAAGTGACTTGATTTCAGCTTTCAACTTCTTGCTTTCAACTTCAGCAGTTTCAGTGATAGTCTGTGAGTTGCTAAGTTTGGCTTCAAGTTTGGAATTTGCTTGATTTACACTTCGTATGGTGTTTTTGGCACTAGCAAGCTCCTCTTGTAGTTTTTTCTCCACTTCTGTTTTATCAGTTCCATGCATTTCTATTTCTTTTTTGGCCATTTCCAGCTGATCCTTCAGTTTTCCAATTTCTTCATCTTGATCATCTGCCTTTGTTTGCAGTTGTTTAAAAGCTTCTATCCACTCTTTGGTTGACTGCTCTTGATCTCCTTGAGCTGACTGCAGYTTTCCAAGTTCTTCTCTTGCATCTTTTAATTCATTTTCCATTGACTCTCTGCTTGACTTCATGTCTGCTAATTCTGATCTAAGCTTTTCAATTGTGCTGTCTCGTTCCTCAAGGACAAACAATCTGCTTTGGAGTTGTTGATCTTTACTCTTAAGTTCCTCTTGCAGCTCTTCATTGATATGTTTTAAATTTTCAGTAGTATCAAAGAGATTCTAGAATAAATAAAATATGTAATTAGTATTAAGTTGCTGGCGTTTAGCTAGGGTGGTCAGTTTATGGTCTAGTTATAAGTAGTTAGAGATGGAATGCTTTCAATAGAATACATATTATAGGGACTGAGGTTAGTGATGAGAGGTAGTTAGTATGCATATGAGGAGTGCATGGAGAGTGGTCATTTTACAATCATGAGACTGAGGCAGCTACTGATGAGGTGTAGGCTGCAGTGACAGTCTGTGGGTCAGCTTACAATCATGATGTGGTTAGTAATGGTGAGGTGTTGGTACTGAGGGTGATCAGTGTACAATYATCACTGGGAGCAATTAGTAATGAGGTATAGGAATTGAGGATAGTGGTCATTTTACAATCATGAGAATTAATATGTATGAGGTGTATGAACAGAGGGTGCCCATCCATCAGTTTGCAATCAGGGGAGGTGGCTATAATAAGGTGTAGGCACTGAGAATGATCACTTTACAATCATAAGAGGCCATATACAAGCTCTAGACATAAGAGGTACATGTTATATGTATAAGAGTCTATGCACAGAGGGCTACCATCCGTGCATCAATCTGTTTGTAATCATCAGAGGTGACATGTAGGAGCTCTAGGCATAAGAGGTAAGATGTATAAGGGTCTATGCACAGAGGGTTACCATCCTTGCATTAAGCTGATTGCAGTCATCAGAGGTAAAATGTATGAGGTTTATGCAACAAGGGTGGATAATTTCACATAATACCAGACTACTAAATAATGATGTTAAAAATGCACTAGCTCTACCATATAATGAACAGACTAACCTTATTCTTCTCGTTAGCATCAGCCAATTTCTGTTCTTGCTCATCATTTTTTCCCTTTAATTCTTCATATCTACTCCATGCTTCTTGCAACTTGAGCGTGAGCTCTTCATTGCATAATCCAGCAGCCTYGTTTTTGTCTTTACTTTGGCTTACATTAACTTGTTTTTGATTTTCCTGCTTTTTATTGCTCTCATCATCCTCAGATTCATCTGAACTTGAAGACAAAGTTGAACTAGTCTCTGAATCTGATCTCGTTGCATCTTTCTTGGAAATATTGATTTTGGCAATACCTTTGTCATTTTTGTCTTTCAAATCCTCACTGCTATCCTCTTTATCAGACCTTTTTATTCCATTGGCAATTCCAATATCTTGACCAATTGAAACACCATTTTTTTCATTGGTCTGAGGACTATCATCCACAAAAACCCCATCAGTCTTGTCTTTCACAATACTTCCATTAGACAATGAATGCTTCCCTAAACTCTCCGAGCTACTCTTCAAACCATTTTCTAGTGACTTCAGTGAGCTTGACTCAAACTGTAAAAAGAACAGAGTGAAATTTATCAAGACCAATAGACTAATATTGGTTATTAAAAGACACAAGCCCATTATCTTGTCCATCAATGAGTAAGAGAGAGAAGATCATATGACTGGAAGATCATGTATATATGAGTAAGAGATGTGTGTAGTGATGCTAGATGTATATGGGCCGGTATCCAGATTATATGCAATGACTGTACTGTGTCGACTATAAACCAAAGTACTGTATTAAATCACTGTCTTACAAAGTCTGGGGAGAATGATTTTCTTTAACTTTCACTTGGTTAAGTAGTGATCTTTTTTGACTTGAAGTCGTAAGAGTTAACCACCCACCTCCAAATAAATGTAAAAGTACCTGCACATTATCATATTGGTAATATATAAATAAATATCCCTTATGTCATGACGACTAATTTCAGAATGCTACGAGTTCCTCTAAATATTCTATCCTTCTCCTTTAGCTCCTCCTCCAGTTCATGCTTAATTTTTAAATCATGAATCACAGAAAATTTCTTTCACCTATCATGCATCACCCATAACTATTTCATCATCACATCATCACACAGCTTATTTGGGAATATAATCATGAATCACACAGCAATTTCRATGCTATGGCAAGTTATGCACAAAATAGCTCTTTGCCACCCTGGTAATAAAGCTTAGGCTAGGATTACAGAAAGCTCACGATTGAACATGAAAAAAGACTTGGTTCCAGATGTCACAGAGGATAATCCTTTAATAATCATTGCATTCAAATTACCATTCAATTCTTGATACCAACACTATTCCACAAAGACCTCCTCATATAAAGTAATCTCAACTTTCTGCAGTCATAAATAAACACCTAGATAATCCTTGACATTACTGCCAAAATAGAAATCCAGCATTATTTGATTTGAACGCTACACCTAATATAGGGTCGAGACGAAGAATAAATAGTTTAGATCTTGGTTACCCTGGACAACAGGTTTGTGGTCCAAAAGTTCGTTCCAACTTTGTTTTGAATACTAGTAAAGGGTATAATGAGTGTAGGAATTTTCTAAAATCCCGTTTGTACTGATAATGACAATAATAGTGAATTCTCAATTAAATCAGCGAGTAATTTAGTCAATTTGAGACGGAGTTTAATTAAGCCAATGTCAATAATATAAAGTAATGAATATACAACAACAAGTGAYAAACAGTATCTCTTCAAGTGGAAAACACTATTATAAACAACCTTTTCTGTGAAGAAATAAACGTTTATATAGTGAATAAAGAAAATATATTTTAGTATTTCATAGAATGAAAGATAAGAGAGACTTAGACAAGAGGTGTGCGAAGAGGGACTCGTGTTATTATCTCAAGTGGGTAAATTATAGAGCACAAATTTATTTTCTCTTAAAATACCTTTAAAACAACAATTTATAAGCTGCCGAAGGATATTTTAGAAATCTGTAATTATTCTTTCATATTATAGCCGAAAAGTTTAGGTTTGAATTGTCCTAATAAAAGAAGTTTTAAGTCTTATACACCGGTTTGGATTTGTCTTGTTATAAAACTTATATATATTGTTATTAATTTTTAACTCGTGATTTTTATACTGGCTTTCCGGATAAGAGTAACTTTCAAATATGTCAGTAAAGTAGTTAAGCAACAATACCCTAAAGCTGTAGAAAATATTATGAGAGAAAAACAGTCTGGCGCACTTCCTTACCTCGTTTGTTTGGACCTTTGATAAGTCATCCATCCTTGAATATTCAACTTGACGTTCTGAACTCTGATAATTGGATTCGATTCGAATGTGGTTTTTACTCAGTTCTGAACCTCAAAAGTCAAATTTCCTTATTCTAACTTTTAAAGTTAAAGCTATAAGACTTATTGACGTTCATACTGTTTTGTACTTAGGAGAGAAAAGGGGTTTTTGAAGCGCTAAGTTCTTCCCCGTGTCKGTATGCAACCATGACCTGCTACACTTCTTCTTACACTCCTGTTCCTATGGCAACGGGGTAGCGTTTTGTCAGTGAAATGAAATTTAATACCAACTTAATTAATCGGCGGCCTCTTTTGTTCATTTTAAATCAAAATATATATATTATCAAAACAAGCTCTATAGTAATACGGATAATCCTAGGATTTAGAATGTTATAGCCAGGTAAAATGGGTTTAGAACATTTGGAATTTATATTAATATATTTTTAAAAATTTAAAAATTAAAAAACATTATTAAGAAATCTGAGCCAAGATTTGATTTTATTTCATTTAAATTATCACTTGTATTTTGCAATGTACGTTATTGAGTTTTTATCTTAGTTTATATCATAAATATATCAAAGAAAAGGATATTGTTTCTCCTAATTGCTGGGATGCCTGTGGAAAAAATGTGTGTTAGGACTGGAAACTAGTTGGTTTCAAGATGGCGGCTGCCATGCTGGTTCGTGAGGTTAGGAAACCTCTTTCTTCTTTCAAGGTTTTTAGCAGTTCTTGTGCCGCTAATATTCTCGTAAAACCTTCTGTTACTCGTCAGTGCTTTATACTATGGAAGAGATGTTACAGTTTAGATCAAAGCAACACAGAAAGTGTCGAAAATTCGCCTGGAAATTCTCCGAAAAACCTTTTTGAGGTTTTCCAAAGGAATTCTTCTTTACTAACAGGAAAAAAGCTGGAACAAATACCACTAACTAGAGAGGATGTAGAAAAAGAAATAAAGAAGCAGAGTAGATTTCAAAGGAGAAATGTCGTGCGTATTGATCCGAGTAATGTTGGATGGACTAGTGGGTCCAAGCGARTAGGAGCCATTGGCGTCAAACTGGGCATGTCTGCCTTGTGGATGAAGGATGGGAGAAGAGTCCCTGTCACTTTGATCCAGGTATAGTTTATTTTTGATACCAGTCTTTCCATGGTAGTGATAGATAATAATGGAAAGGGTAGAGGTGAGGTTGCTTTTGCTTGCTCCATGCAGAAAGGAGTCCCTATCCCCTTATTTTTGAAACCAAATCTTTCCATGTTAATGATATGTAATAATGGTACCGTAATTATGGAGGGGGTGAAGGTCATGTTGTTTTTGCTTTTTCCATGCAGACATTAGGTGACATTAGAATAAGTCTGTCAGGTATTAGTGGCATGATTAGACATTAGTGGCAGTTGTGTCTGAGGAGTGGGGGAGGAGTTATGTTCCACGATGTCAAAGCTGTGCAAGAAGGATTGCAAAGTACACAAAATTGTATTGATTTTCCATTTAATTATTATTCCCTCCAGCACACAGGACCATAGAAAACAGAAAAGGCTAGAGCAAAATTAAGAATAGCAAAATGCAAGCCACTAAGTAACAAAATAAAATGTCAAACAAAGTATATATTATGTTTTACTTATGATCAATGTTGCTTAATTGTTACTTCATCACAGATTAAGGAGTGCCAGGTGATACAAGCCAGGGCATCAAAGAGTATTGGTGGGAAAGATCCTCAGACAGAGCTTCAAGTTGGAGCTATAAATGAACCAGAATTGCATAAGGTAACATGTGCCAATTTATAAGAAAAGCATCACATTTAACACATAGATAGCCACAGACAACCCAGTAACAATCTACTTATTTCATACCTTATTGTTTTTGATTTAGGTAAAAAAAGCTCAGTATGGACACTTCAAAAATTTTGGTGTTCCTCCAAAGAAGAAAGTTTGCAGCTTTGAAGTCACAAGAAATGCCCTTCTACATCCAGGTAAGCTCTACCAAATGATTCCTGTATTTATATACTAGTAGACCTTTGTAACATTTACTTGCATTTGACAGGGACGGCCTTTAAAGATACTTTGTATACAAGATAGACTTGAACACCCTTTTAAAAATAAATGCAAAAACTACGACTAAAAAACAGCTTACTGCAATTTTCATTAACATGTAAACGCAGTTGCTACAAGCTGCAACACTGACAATTTTTTTTTGCTGCCATCAATCAAAACTTATCATTCATTACCTTTCATATTTTTGGTTGGCAGCAACGAAAAACCAAATTTCAGCATGCCGCTCACAACTATAGAGTTTGCATGTTTATGAAAATAGCAGTTATTGGCTCATCGTGAAACAAAAGATAATACAAAGCTAGAGTGTTGGCAAAGTTTACCATGTGTTTGTATAGCAAAAGTTGTCCATTTTATTGAGGAATTAAGGTGACTTGATGACGCAAATGTGTGATTTTATTTTAGCACATCTTTCAGTCAAAAAACAACCACAGATATTAAATCATCATTATTATCATAGTAGTATATATATAACATCCTCATTTAATTCCAGGAACAGTCATCAGTGCTGCACATTTTTGTCCTGGACAATATGTTAAAATCCAAGGCATAACGTAAGTATTTTAAGTACAGCTGACAGCACTACCGGAAGTTGAATAAAGCATAGGGAGATCTTTGGGCAAGGGCATCTTCTCTAGAATGACAGTCTCCTGAAATCTTGAAGCTTATGGGGTTAGCCCAAGAGTACCGCAAGTATCCTAAAATGTGTGTGTGTGAGGGAGGGAGGGTGGGGGTCAGGGTTGCGTGGTATAACCCAACCCCTTTTTCTCCACAGTCCCTTGGCAATATTAACCCATGTAGTTTCAGTATTAAAATTAGTAGATAATATTGTGAGATTTATTTTTTTTACAGAAAAGACCATGGATTTCAGGGAGTCATGAAACGATGGGGAATGAAGGGTCAGCCCAAGTCTCATGGTCAGTCAAAGACTCACAGGAAAATGGGAGCCACTGGAGGTGGCCAGGTAAGTGTGTTTGAATGGTTAAAGTTGTAAGCTAAGCAGGAATATTTTGGTGTGNGGGAGGGGCTAAGATTAAGACTAGTATGAAAAAAAGTTGGGGGGCTAAGATTAAAAAATGTAAGTGACTAGTACGGGAAAATGAAAAAAGTGGGTGGGGACTATAGCCCCCTTGCCCCACCCCTTCTGCGACCCATGATATTTGCTGTCCCTTGGTATTCCTCATATTGTCTTTTGTCTTTGTGATTCAAGTTATTTTTGTTATGATCGATGCTTCCCTGTTTTATATTCAAGCTGTGATGGATAATAAATTATGATATTAAATTAATATTCAATTATTTTTTGAATGTCCAGGACCCTGGCAGGATCTGGCCTGGTAAGAGAATGGCAGGACAAATGGGGAAAAAGAACTGTACTCTTTTTGCTGTTCGGGTATGTACTGTTTGACTGAGAAACTTCATTTGTTAAAGTTGAATACAAAATGAGAACAATTCTGTATCTTATTCAACTATATTCAACTACAGTGTCTAATTATTCATAATTTGACCATACAATTTACAATTCCAGGTTCATAGAATCAACACCAAGTACAGTGTATTGTATGTGCAAGGTCAGTGTCCAGGAAACAAAGGTGACTTCCTTAAAATAAGCGATGCCTGGAAAAAGTTTGCAACTCCTCCACCATTCCCAACATATTTCCCTGAGAAAGAAGAGACACCAGAGGATTTGTATGCTGATTATATACAACCTTTCAATGAAGAATCAATAACATTTGAAGAAAAGAAAAGAAAGAGACAGTAACAACTCAGTACTCTGCATAGCAACTGCAGACATTTTCTGGAACTACAAAAAGGCAAGACTTTTCTCATTGTCCATTTGTAAATAATAATGAAAAACACTTATGAAAATAAAACCTTATAATTCACAAATATAGTGTTGTCTTGTAGGTTGGTGTCATGGTATTTAGATATTGATAGAAAGGATATTCAATAGTCACTTGTAACTTATGCAGGAGCTCGGGAAAAACCGGGTCCACCTAACAGTATTCAAACAAATGACCTTCTGGATACTAGTTGGATGCTCTACTGCTGAGCTCATTTGCAAATGGTTGAAGAATCATCAATCTATAAATTAACACATATTTTACTCGTAAGTCGATTTTGGGCCCACAATTAAAAATTCGTCTTGTCAAAAAATAGGATCACCCCTACTGCAATGAATAGCCCACTTCAGAGACATGCTTTGCTTGTCACGCACAAAGGTTTCAGTAAGAGGCTAAGTGGTAAATTAAGTTTATTCTTTTCTCTTGTCAAGCATTATGCCTCACATTAAAACCTTTGTGAGTGACAAGCCAAGTATATCTCTTAAGTAGGCTATTCTAGTAGATACTCCTTAATATTTCTCTGCCATAATGGTGTGATATCCTATCAATAACACCATTGATGTTAGAGCCATAATTCTTTTAAACACTATTTATTAACAAACTTCTGTACAGGATTATACAATTTGCCACTTTTTTTTACCTACAGTTGAAGAATCCTATAAATTTATTAATTACCCAGATCTTTATATTTATTGCTAATGTTAGTTTTTTATTTTAAGAAATGTAACAAGTCTTTACCACATAAGAAATTTAAGATGAAGGACAAAAATATTATCTAATTTTTGGTATATTGTAGTGTTTTAAAGCTTCTGGATAAGGACTTCTTATACCCCAAATCAAAATGTGGAAACCAATATTATTTGAATAACTATTGCTCTAGCCTGCAAGCCTCATGTTCACGTAGAGACATATAAGCGTTTTCACATAAAGAGGGGATAGTCAGTCCAGAACAATAGTTATTTTAATTATACAGCTTCTCATTAATCCCATATAGGTAACTGTCCAATTATTTTCTTAATTGGACAGGTCTTGTTGATATGGGATTAATTAGGCAGCAATATAATTAATAGGTAATGGGATTTCATGCTCCCCAATCAAGAAATAATTGGACTCGAAAAATTCCTCTGACTGCCAAATTGGACTCGGCCTACTGTACGGCCTCATCCAAGCATGGAGTCCTATTACATATACAAATTGGTCTCCATATTTTAATTTGATACAAAATAAGGAAATTAAGAGATGAACATGTCAATGCAACAGTTAGTACCTCTATGCAATAAAATTGTGTGAAAATTTGCAGGGGTGAGCATCCCCTAGACAAGCTTAGAACTTAGTACTGTGTTATTGGTGCTTGAGTTTGTAAATGATTGACCCCTTGCCTCCTAAAAACAATTTTGGATCCATTCTTTAATTAGATAATAGCTTAGACTACAAAATTTCAAAGAGAAAATGAACTCAAAAGTTTCGCATATAAATTAAAAGTTTTTATCTAAACTTTTTAAGCTTTGTGTGATTGTTATTTTGATTTTCTCATGACCATCCTGATTGCTTTGAAATACATCTCTGAAGACATACAGTGTTCATTCTGGGCTCAAACTTGGCAGTAGGCAAATAGCAAATACTAGTGATTCCTTTGGTTTTGGCTTATGAAAATTGCTATTCTTTTTCTAATGTCAGTAATAGCCATATTGACTAAGAATTTTGGTAGTACTGTAACTTTTTTGTACAAATTTYGTATTCGTCCTTTTCTGTAATACCAAGTTTACCAAGTGATAGGGCTATAAAGAGAAAAAATAAATTTGAACCCAGTACTTCTTTTTGTGTGATTCTACGAGATGGATCTTCTGTATGGACTGTTCTGTTCATGAGAAAGCCATAAGTGACGTTTTAACTGGATGGCAGTGATGAACTTCTTGGCACAGTGTTCACACACAAATTTTTCATCTCCAACATGCTGTCTAATATGTCGTCTAAGGCCTTCAAGTTGTTCATAAGTCTTTGGACACCATTGGCACCTAAAATCATGAAGGATAAAAATGATATATGGTATTTAAGTTATTCAATTGAGGGAAAATGCACTTCCTGATCATGAAAGGGTGTCATGCAAAGTCATTCTAATAACACAGGAAACCCATTATAGGATAAAATGGAGTCTCAAATTGAAGGATATTAAATTCCAGAGCTTTTGATAAATTGAGTGAAAGTTGATCAGATGTTACTTTGTAGAAATAGGGGGGCTTCTAGTCACCCTTCTTATCACCCCCCAACTGTGCCCCTGTATAAAATACTCACTCGTAAGGTTTTTTCTTGGCCTGTTTGTGAATATGCATGTGTCTCTTCAGATAAACCTCATTAATAAACTCCTTGTTACACATCTTACAATTGACAACACTCTTTCGACTGTGAAGCAACATGTGTGCCTTGAGGTTGTCACGACGTGTGAACATCGAATCACATTCATCACATTTGAATTTTTTCTCATTATTATGAGCAGCAATATGACGCTTCAGGTCGGCACTTTTGACAAATGCCCTACCACATAGTGTACACTTATGTCTTTTATCCCCTGTGGATTAAATTCAATTATGAAATAACTGTTATAAATCTTGCRTTCTGATTGGTTGGGAAGTGTCTGCTATGCATCATGCTTCTGTCAACACATCTCTCATGTTCTGCAAATCCCCACATGCTTTAYAGCTGCACACAGCATGTCTCAAAAATGTCTCCCAATTTTTGGTACTCCGTCCCCATCTACCAAAATATTTAACTTGCAACCACCCACCCACCCATATACTCGTTAATGTAACCCCCTCATAGTAGGGGGGCATTCAAATGCCCATGTATTTATGACCAATTGTGTGGAATAATGTCTTCAAATATTTTACACTCCATTCCCATCTACCAAAAATATACAATATTATAACCTATGCACTCCTTAATGTAATCCCCTTAGCTTAGGGCCATTTGAAATGCCCACATATTCATGACCAATTGTCAGCATCTAATAATTCTGTAACTCTATAACATTAATAATCATGACGAATTTTTAAATTTCTTTAAAATTGTGGTACAAAAGATAAAAAATGAACTCACCAATATGATACTTGATATGTGACTTGATACAGCCTTTAGTTCTGAATTCTTTTCCACAGAATTCACATTTGTAAGGAGTGTCAGTATTGTGTACTGGTAAATGGAGCTTGAGTTCATTGGGTGTGCGGAAAGCTTTTGTGCAAGTCTGTTATAAATATATTAACATATACATTTATAAACAAAATGCCACATATTAAGTATAGTTAGAATTAAGGTTTTTAATTTAAGTTAAGGAGCATGCATTTATAATTACGGGGTGGGGAAGTGATAGGGATTTTTTTTAAATGTTATTGTGTTAAAATGAGGTTAAATAATATTCTTGAGATTGCCCTCCACTCAAACATAACATATTTTTGATGCCATATTTTCAGTGTTCCCCCCTCCAACCTGATTAATTTATTATAAACATGCCTTGCCTGCCAAGTACATGTATTAGTGGCTCTAATGCATCTGGAAGAGACCTTTTCTGATGCTGTTTGTACCCAAGCTAAACCACAATGCATCATGGCCAGGCACAAAATTCATAATCATCRACATGATAGTTTTAAGAAAATTAAATAAAAATAAGTTTCCAAAACATCACTTATAATTAATGTTCTACGTACCATGATGCATATCAAGGCTTAACAATGGATACAATAGATTAATTGGCCAATCAGTCAGTCAATCAACTATTTGAGTGTCTTTAGAATACTTAGATCTTATTAACTGAGCGGGAGGTCTGTACGGGATAATCTTGACCGAGGTCTGTACCCGACCTAGGTCAAGATTATCCCGTACAGACCGACCAAGCTCAGTTGATAAGAGTTTTATTATATGAGCACTTTCCATTGAAAAGGACAAAATGTTTTCGCCGTAAGATTAATATGCAATCGGACTGGTTAATACCGGAGAATCTAGACCAGTCTGCGATGCAATCTATCCAATCAGATTGCTCGATTTGCTAGTGTCCAGGCTCTAAGATTCACGGTCATGTAATAAAAGGAATAATAGACTTTTCAAATATTATTACCTGGCATTCATATGGTCTGACTTCAGAATGAACCAAGTAGTGTCGTTTCAAATCATGCTTGGTAAAGAATTTTTTCTCACATTTATCACAGGGATGAGCTCTTTCTTTTTCTATCTCTTCAATAGATCACAATAAATGTTACAGTCAAGTTGGAGAACARTTTCACGAAAAGGAATAAGTAAATGAATTAATGCTGTGGAAAGGGGAAAAAAAAGGAATGAGGAAGGAAGAAATGAAGGGAGAGAGAGAGGAAAGGAGAGCAAGACAGAGGAAGAAAGAAATTACGAATGAAGAAAGGAAGGGAGACAGGAAGGAGGAGGGAAGGAAGGAAATAAAAAAGGAAGGAAGGGAGAGAGGAAGCGGAGGTAGGGAGAAAGCGGAGGTAGGGAGAAAGCGGAGGTAGGGAGTGGTTAAAATGATTTACATTTCTAGGCTAGTAAATCCATACCCCTGCAAACTTACCTTCTTTCTGAGTCTCCTTCAATTCTGCCAGTCTCTTTCTTTCTAAACTCTGGTTTACAAGTAGTGATGACAAAGATTTGTGGTTAGATCTTGCAATGGCCTTCAGTACTACTACCTCCTTCTCTCCACCACCAGTCTGAGTGACAACTTCTCGTAACTTTGCCCTCAGCTCAGTCTTGTCATCTATGTTATCCATATTACTAATCCCTGATGTAGATGCAACCATGGTACAGCCACCAACTTGGCTCTTATGGACCATAGGGGAAGATCCTTCTGATTCCACAGTAACAGACACTTCACCTAAGTTTGAATCATGTGATAAACTACTTCTTCCCCTCTCGTCTATTACAATCTCCTGCACTGGCTGCCCTACGGCAGATCCTAAGGAAACCAGTGTCAGAGCAGCATTAGTCACAGGGTGGTGGACACTCTCACCACCTGGCATTTCTCCTAAATTCGCCAGATCCATTGCTTTTTCAATAACATTACTACCACCATCAGAATTATTTATCGCTTTAGACAAAGAATTCTGTCCTTGTGCCATAACATTGATGGTGACTGGTTGAGGTACAAATACTGCATTGCCAAATGATGACAGGCCAGAATAGGAGGTGGTGGTTTCTGCTTGGCTTGGAGGACTGGAAGTATTAAGTAGAAATAAAAGAGCAGCATGGCTCTCCTCTCCCATGGAAGTGACTGTAGTTATAGGAGTCAGAGTACAAGTGGATACATGAGAGGTCATGAYGGTGCTCATGGGTAAGACTGATTGACAGCTGTCTGTCTGGGATGTTATTAACTGTGCCGTGCTGACCAAAGGAGATGGGGCAACATGTTCTATCAAAGGAGTCTGGTCCATACTGACATCTGATGATGCAGTTTTGGCATTGCTCTCATTGATGCCAGTTTCTTCGTCAGCCATTATAAGGCCCTACTGATAAATGAATATTAAGTATGGTAAGCACTGACTACAGATAAACTGACAAAATACATCACATATGATTAACTGACATCTTGTTCAGCCATTATAAGGCCCTCCTGATAATTGAATATAATATGACTATCATAGGCTCAAAATAAGAGAAAAATATGCTTGAAGAAACACAATCAAATCTTTAAAATAATAACTATCCAAGCGGATTGCATTCCTAGGTACACTACTTCATACATTGATACTCTTGACAGACATATAATTGACAAATTATAGTATTAAAATCCAAAATATAAAATTAATGTCAAATATTGTGATAGAGTAACTTATATAGAATTGAAATACTTTTAAAGCCTAGAAAGACGTAATAAAATGCAGAACATGGGCATCGTTAATGCACCTATTAAGGGCAAATTCTTGGAAATCGGTTATTAACGAGACAGAATGTGAAATGAACCTGATCGATAAAGAATCTACCTCGTTAAACAAAAAAATTGGCGAATAGTGCGCTATTGATGGTCTAGTTTCGAAACTAGGGTACAAATATTGTTGAAATGGAATACCAAAAGCATTGCTAAGTAAAATGAGAAGATAGTAGTTGGATGTCAAGACACAAGAGTATTGAAAGAGCGCCATGCCAACTCCACACCACATTCGGCAGCACCCGACAATCCGTCTAGTTTTCTCACAAAAGCACCAAAACTAACAGCATCTCGGATTCGTAATCAAATATTACTTCAGTTAGTATTAAGTATTGATTGATAACTCGGTTAAATTGGTTCAAATACCTGTATTTTTGGAGTTTTATTTTGGTGAGTAGTGCGAAAAACCTCAACAACGGCAAGGCGTTCTTCACATAACAGGAATACCCAGCATGCATTGCGCTAGACACGCCTGCCATACCCAGCATGCTGTGCGGGTAAGTTTTAGTACTTTGTACAATATATAGAACAATAAAGATCGGTGTATATTAATCTGTGGGTTATACCTTCACTACAATTTGTTATGGCACTCTATAAAGCTCTTGGACAGTCTACTAGATTATCTAGTAGGACCTGGTTGATGCTTGGTGCTCGCGCAAGGTGAGATCCATKTTTTTTTTTGCAATTTCTTCTTGTTGTGACTTCTCAGACACAAGGTTTTTAAAATCAACATGGAAATTAACWATTATTAAGAATACCAGCTAAGATTCTCCTGTAATTCGAAGGCGTTTACTCAGGAATGCAATCTTCATGTAACATTGATGAATCTACGTCCCAGAACACTTAGGATCATCTTTTTGTCACCAAGCAACCAAAAAGAGTAAAAAATGTACTGTCACCATGCTTGTGAAAGCATTTCATTGGCTGGCTCTGAGATGTAAAATTTGACAAGCATTCTTAATAAATTAAGACTCAACATGTATATTTTTAATGACTTAAAGAAGATTTGGTTTTGATTTGTTTCCTAAAATAATACAAATCACTTTAGTCTTGTACAATGCACATTGCTGTCACATTTCCATGAAGGTCTATATTTAATGGTTTACAGTGTTTTTCAAAGTTATGTTACCAMGACAGCCAAATGTCTTCAGGTGCAGCCTAAAGGTTTCCCATTCCTGATGTAATGCGTATTTGTCTTTATGCAGTTCATGGTGGACCAATGTAAAACTTGGYCCTCCTGATGCAATTCTTGGCATAACTGAAGCATTCAAGAAAGACACYCATCCACAAAAGATTAACTTAGGTGTTGGGGCATACAGAGATGATACAGGAAAACCTTATGTGTTGCCATCTGTGAAAAAGGTAGRTGAAATAAAACCACAATAGAGGCTTTAATTTACCATAACATGATGGCAGCCATGACAGGAGGCAGGAACAACTGAATCTGGTTTATATATGAGAAAGGATTCAGTTTCATACAGGAAAAGGACACAATTGTTGTGCAKTCCAGTCATGGCTACCATCACATGATGGTGCAAAGCCTCTATATATTGCTTTTTTAAATCAGGGAGGTGTGATAAAGCTTGAATCTTATTGTCTTGGAAGAAGACTTATTGCAATCTGTTTGCATCATCCAGCCACTGAAATGTGTAAAATCTTGTAACAAGCCACAAAGAGGAAAGTGGGAACCTTACATGCAATTTTTCTGCAGTTTTATTACATTAGCATTGAGCTGCAATAAAAATGCACATCTATAGGCTCTTTCTAAATGGGTCAAACATGTGATGTCATGGGATACCTGTGGAAAACACAGGAAGACCAATAGGGGATACAAAACGTTTTAAATCTTTGTTTCAGGCAGAAGAAATACTATTATCCAAAAACCTAGACAAGGAGTATGCACCCATTGATGGAGTCCCTGACTTTACTAAGGCGGCTGCAAGACTAGCCTTTGGAGAAAA